CCTTTGGGGCCTGGCTGGGGCTGGGGTGCGGGTTGAGTGCCGCTTCTCCGGTCGCCTTTGGGAAAAAGCGTTATGGGGTCGAATTTCTGTTCCTTAGCTGCCTTTGTCGTCTGTTTCAGTGCAAGTCCTGCTTTGCAGGCGGCTGCCTCAATTTGTGCCTGAATGCCACCTCAGATGCAGGCATTCTGTTTTCTGCTCACTGCTATGGAAAGGTATCTCCAATTGTGTAGAGTGAGGTTAGTGGTAAGCCAAGCACGTCCTTGGTGTTAACACCTCCTGGGCTTGTACTGATGTTGGGCAGCCTGAGTTGGGTGATGGTTGTTGGTCTTCACCCTGTTCATACATTGTTTTCTGTAGAAGCATTGTGGTTTGTTGCAAAACCTCAGAGCTGTGGTATGTTTGTGCAAGGTTAGAGTGACACACGCTTTCGTATTTCAGGTAAGGGGAAATATTGCCCAGGTGAGGCTTAAATTATCGTGAGACTAACTTTGTAGAGGTGATGACTCTGCATGTTCTTATCCATGCAGACAAAATATGTGAAGCCTCTGGCTAGGTAAGTGCAAGCAAAACATGTAATAAAAATCTGATGGTTAAAATAAAGTTGCTCTTCTGTTAATAGTGTCAGTGTAGGATGGCACTTTTTCAAAAGCTTTTAAGTCAAAGTTCCCAACTTTCCTACCCGGCAGGAGAGAGTAGGCAATACAGTATTACTGAAGGTCTCTGCTCTCTAATGAAACACGGCTATCTTATAAATAAAGCCTTATTATCAGTTATTTTGATTTTTTTTTTTTTTTTTAATGGAAGGTGAAAGATTGCTTAAGTTATGTGGCCTGCTGTTAGTTACTGACTTGGTTCTGGAGTGTTTTGGACAGGGGCGGGGGGAAAACCATTAGTTCTCCATGTAGTTAAACTGTGTAGCTAACCACTGCAATGTTTCCACTGTTTTGAGTATTATTTCAGTTAGTTATACTCTGGAAAATTCTTACCTCTGGCTGTACTCGAAATACTCGGTATTACAAGATATAACGCGTGATGAAAACCGTATATTTGCTACGTGTAACACTAAATTATCGCATTGTTTAAATACAGTTGCAGCATTTGATTTGTCCAATCACGTTTTAACTAGATATATAGGAAACCTGGCAACCAGAGCGCTACTATTCAGAGCAATTGTCTCATTATGTTTGGCAAATACAGGGGAACAATTTGAATGTGAAGTCACTGTTCTGGTTGTGCTCAGGTTTGTTAGTCATTTAGTGTTAGCATCTGTGGGACACTCTAACACTGTTAGAGTCCTGGCAATGAAAAGATCTTCTTTATGAAAACAAAACCTGTGTTGCTTGAATATAGTCGATTGGTAGGTAACATTGAAAATTCTGAAACAAGTTAAAAGAAAAGAGATTCTCACTTTTCTATAAAACTTCCCATCTTGGACTGTAATGCTTTATGTATAGCACTTCCACTTCTTTTTTTAAATAAACCTACTGATTTAAATATTTGTTTTGAAGTAATTCCCAACATCTACTGTTTTTCTAGGTTGATGAACTCCAAAATGTTACCTCAGTGTCTGTGTCAAGTTTACAAATGTTTGTTTCTGCGCAACTTAAAACTGAATTCAGTAAATGTGCCTACTTCGGCTAGAGGGATCCATTCTTCAGCAAAAAAGCTTTCTGACTGTGAGTTAAAGGAACAAACTGTCCCGAAATATGAAACTGAAGAGTCTCCTCAAAGTACAGGAAACAACAGTTTTGGAAGATTGCATGTACCAGTGATGCTGGAGGAGGTTGTTAATTGTTTATCCCCCCAGCCAGGCCAGGTGAGTGAAATGATTAATTAACATTTGTGATTCAATAGCAGAAAAATTTGTGCTGTGTAGGGATCACTTCTGTTTAGAGAAATAAAGGGATGGTCTTTAAGTTTCACGTTTTAAAGGTTCTAAATTGTTTTGCAATTCATATTAAGGCTCTGTATTCAGAATAATAAAAAATCTGCTCTCTGTGTGCCTGGAGCCCCCAAAAAGCGGTATTTGAATTTGCGTTTGTGCTTGTCTTTCTGGATTGCTCCTGTGTTTGTGTGTTTCTGGGGTTGTGTTAATTAGTAATGGTAGCAGGGAGTTCTCCTGTATGGTCATGTCCTTTTGTAGAAGAGGTAGTAAGTATGAAGTTTGTGTGTTCTGAGATAGTTATTTCCATGGTTTCAGTTGGTTTGGTGCACTGTATTTCCTTAGGATACACTTACGCTGCATCATGTGGTGCCCTGTAGAGGTACTGCCGTTAAACAAAGGCTGTGTATGGTACCAGAAATGCTTTGGCATCAATAACGTGGAAGTGTTACAAGTACTACGGTACTGTGAGTAGATTTCTTTTGGTATCTGGGTTAGCTCCGGTCTCTCTCACTGCAGTGTTGGTGTATGTACACTGTGCTGGTGTATGCAGTGTAAGTATGCTGTTACACACTCCCTTTACAAAAATGACACGGTGAAATAGTTTTTGCCTGAGGGATCTTAACTTTTGAGGTCCCTTCCAACCCCTGACATTCTGTGATTCTGTGAATAGTACATCAGAAGGATTTCTTATACAACTTAAATGCTTAAATTTTCCTATTTATGAGGCTTTCATCTGTGATTTTAATGTTTTTATGTTAGCTTTATATAATCTTATTAATTTAGGCTTATCGATCTGCAGGTTTACTACAAAGACTGAAGTGATACATACAAAAGTAGAAAGTTCAAGGTGTGCATATGCTTACTTTTACTCGAAAACAGCATCGTCCAGCAGTGGCTAAGGGACATAGCAAGTCTGAGGTGGCTTCAGGGATCGAAAAAATTGTGGTCACATCTTGTTGCGTTGCCTTATGAGAACTTCTTTAATTTGGAAGATAACGTATCACTTGAAGTGTTTTGAAAATCAGGGAGAATCTGAATAGTGTAAATATTTTGACGTACGCATTGCTGTTGCATTTGTTCTACTGTTGAAGATATTTAAACTAGTGAAATACATAAGGAACTTTGAGTTCAGGTTTCATTCAGATGCCAGAACCATGATGAAACTTCCGCACATTAAATGAACATATAAAGTGTGACACAGTATGTACAGTATTTTTTCCGGTTGTGTAAGTTTCTACGTAAATAAGAATTAAGAGGCTGATGAAGTGACTATTTATTAAACCATATTTGTTGATATAAAAAAACTTAATTGGCAACAGAACTTGCAAAAGAAACTATTTGTGGTTGTAAACTGCGGAGAGTAGCTATTTTTGTCCCTGAAGGCTTTTTGATGATTTAAATACTTATGAATGTAAAATAGCTTGTTATTGGGGTGGGATTTTTCAGATCTGTGTTTATGTGGTTTTGCAGATTCCTAAGCTCATGGTGAACCACTAATGACTGATATAAGAGAGCACAGGTGTGTTACCTTGAACAGAAGCATTTATAGCATGGCTAACCTGTTGAGCGTAACTGAAAGTGAAAACAGCACTTCGAGTGGTGGTTTTTTTTTTCACACACAGAGTAAATCATATATTTGCAGCGAAAGTGAAAACAGCACTTCGAGTGGTGGTTTGGTTTTTTTTTCAAACGCAGAGTAAATCATATATTTGCAGTACTTTCTGAAGCCAAGGCTTGAAAATAAGTAGGGTGCAAAAGGATGAAATGTGTGAACTGAGTTTTGCTAGAGTAAGCATTAGTGAAATTTTGGAACAAGGACTGAGGCGGTTTCTCACTGACATGAATGGCTCTACAGTTTCTGTTAACATGGATATATAGAACTGGGACTGTCACATCAATTTCCCCTTTTGAGGGTGGTCATGACTAGGATGTCCATGAACACTTTCTTTGTTTTGTGGGCAGGGACGGCAAGGTTCTGATCCTTGATTTTGTTTTTTTGCTTCCTTATCTCCATAACCCGTGGGATACGCCTACGAAGATTTCCTTTACTCGGCTTTAATACAGTTATATTCTTTGTTATAAAAAAGCTGATTTTGGCTTTTCTTTTTTTATGTCCCTGGGACAAGTTGCCAATATAAAGAAAATCCAATGAGGACAACATTCTCCCTATGGCTTTAATCAGTGAATGGGGTTTTCATTTTACTTATAGGGGTTCCTAAGAAAATAAATGTTGCTTAAGAATGAATCACAGCTGAGATAAAGATGTTAGTACCCTCCTACTGAATATTCTTTTTGACTGTCTCCTTTGTGGAATCTGTTTGTCAAGGATTTAAGCAATAATATTTCTACTTGCCTTTGAGTCTTCTCTTATTGCCTTACAACTTGTTTCCACAAAGTCCCTGTAGTAGTCCTGTCTTTGAAGCACATTGTACAAATTAGTTTTTACTAATCTGCCTCGCTTCTCCTCAATGGAAAGTGTGCTGTAGTAAATCCACACAAAAGTAATTTCCTCTTCAAGTTTGCTGTATTGACCGAGCTACATCTTAGTCTTTTCAGTCCACTAGTGTTCTTTACATATACTTGACCAGTGTTTCTGCAATTGTCTGGGTAGCTTGAGTTTTCTCTGTTCTTTTAAACTTTAAAGGTAGTAGAAGAACCCAGCATATTTTCAGAAGTAATGTCTCTGGACATCCAGAAGCATGTTTACATAATTTTCACCTTTTTCCTATTTTTTTCCTTTGCAATAGTCACTTGCCTTTTAATGAGAGATGTAGATCTCTTCCACATCATACAGATATAGTCATATGGGAAAGACTTCTATTAGCAGTGAGTTCTAGTATGAATGCTAGAGGATGAAACCTTGACATTTTAATTAATCTTATGAGGGTCTTGTAACAAAGGTTCTTACAGGTTGCAGAGCTCTAGCTCCAATAGACACTTCTATGTATAATATTTAAACTCCAACTAAAACAAAAAGAAAAACTATAGCCTATTCAGATTTTTATGGGAAAGCCTATAATCTTATGACATCTGTGGTTTTGCGTTAAATATCATCTAAAATAGACTAAAATGGAGATGAGGTAAGCTCTAGGAGTATTATTTTGTTTATGGTAGTACCCGAAGCTTTTTTTTTAATATCTAAATTAAATGGTAGGTGGTCAAACTGAGGTAAGAAAGAATGAATGAGACCGTTCCCTTTTCTCTGGTGTTGAAGTGATTAATCAGAAGCAATATCAGATGATCTTTTTATCTCATTGTGTTACTTTGTGTCTAAAAAAATCAGGCAGTTAATTTTCCCCAAACGGTTCTTGTCTGACATCTTCTTGAGTTAAATGGGACTTCTTGTGGAGGTATCCTCTTTGTCTCTGAATAGAATTATTCACATTATTTTTACTGTCCAGCTTTCACTGAAGGGGTGTTCTCTTTGTCTCAGAAATAATATGTGCTATCTAGCTTCTAGAAGGAGAGGTGTTTCTTAAAAACATCCAGATTTGCCATGAGCTTTCCTTTCAGTCTTTAATGGATGTATAGCGTTGTTCGCAGGATAGCTACTATTTTCACGTACCCAAATGTCAAATGATCCTTTTTCAGATGAGTGAGAGTATGAGCATGGCCTTCCAAAATAAGAAGAGGAAGCACAAGACGTTGCTGACAGTCAAACATTAATCTTTTGTCACTGAAGTGCTGCTTGAGCTCTGCAATTAGTTTGAAGACAGTAGTCCCTCCTGAAGTTCTGTTGCCGATGTAGTTCATGTGGAGCGCAGTTATTTCCTTCCTGTTCTGCAGAGCTAGTTAGGCAAGTAATAGATGACGCTTGAAGGAAGCTGAGGTAGGCTGCTGGTGTGCAAAAGCAGAGTCTATTGTTCTGAAATAGTTGTCTTAGTTTCTTTATATCCCTGTCCGTATGTCAGTATTCCTTTTCTTTTTCTGCCTTATACTGAGTAAGCTCCTAAGGACAAAAATAACCTTTCTCTGTACAGCCACCTGCAGAGTGGACTTCTGTTTTGTGAGAAGGGTTTCCAAGTATCATGGTGTATAAATAGTTTTGTGGCTGCTCGTGACCAGTGTACTTACTGTAGTAGTTCCAAAGCCATCTGCAATTAATTTGTGACTGGAACAACCCATTTGCACTGAAGCCTCTCAAGACTGAAGTTTTCCACAGGGTGTCCAAGATAAACAGGAATTAAAAAGGGACCTGGAAAATTGAATTCTGAGTTCTCAAGTTGTATGAGGTGTTTTGTAGGATGCAACCAAAATACCAAGTTTGGCACAGTATTAATTACATAATGCGATAAATGCTGGAATACTTGTTTTGGAAAAGCACAACACTCCATGGGTGTGGTAACTTTTTATCATTTTAGCCTATTTTTCACTGGACTTATAAAATGGAAGTAGATGACATAAAGCAAATGATTTATATAATGTTCTTTATTGTAGAAATATCTATTTGTTGTTTCTTTGTGGGAAGCATGCCGAAAATATCTTTCCATATGCAAATACTATGGGTAACTTTTCTGTGGCAGCAGCACAGAAAAAATACATGGTTTATGTATGGTGATTGATAAAGGTAAGCTGTTGTAAAATAGGAAGAAAGATACTGGAACTTGCAAGAGGCAATAAATTGCTGTAAAGAAGTTCTGAAAATATTCTGGGAATTACCAAACACACTGTATTTCTGTGATACTTTAGTGATACTGGGGGTATTGAGAGTTACTTCAGCTGATCATGTAGTTCCTGTGTACCCTTTCAGTCACTCTTGTCTTGCCTGATTTCCAGTTGTGTGTATTGTGAAAGTATGGAAGAGACTAGCCAGGTTTCAGACCACAGCTGTGTAGGGAGATGTGTAATAAAACATGTGGAGTGTGCATATGTATGCAGGGGGTATTAATTTTCTGTGCTGTGTTACAGGAAACTTGTTAAATGGGATCTCA